TCTGGCATAGATAGATAGAATAGGCTCCATGAGGGCAGGAATCTTTGTCTGTTACATTGCCCCAAGTGCCTAATTCTGTCACAGAGTTAGGTATACAATAAATGTTTGAATAAAAATTTGTTGAATTTATATTTAATCCATTACCAATTTGAAATATTTAAACCTTCATGAGTTAAGTTTGGATGTAGGGAAGCTTGTTTGTTCTTCAGAGAAGGTTTTAGAATGAAGAGAACAATTTCTCTGCTACTTACCCAGTAGTTTGGTAAGAGATGGTTTAATACTTGAGCAGCTAGTCACCAGCGCAGTGCATGCAAACAATTGTGGAGGAGGAAATTATGAGCGAACTTGCTGTTAAAGTAACAAGCAAGCCCAAATTTATATTGTAAAGTAACTTGCTAAACATAAACTTGATCAGTTGGAATGCAAAATGTTTTAAAGAACTATAGTTTTATTAGAGCTTATTAGAACTAGAATTAGGTTAATAGAGGGGACATGCTTTACAATTAATAGGTAATGATGTTTTATGAGCCTGTCAAAGTAGAAACCAAAAGAATTAATTTTAGCTTAAATCATCGTTATGGTTTTTACAATAAAATGCTGTTTTTCTTTTTTGCTTTTGGTAAGTATTTCCTTCGGTAAATCTTTTTGTCTCAGGTGTTATTGCTTACCAGGATGGTCACAAATTACAGCAAAGGGAGATCTGAGACTCTGAATTTCATTTGTAATACAAACTAATTGCTTAAATATTAGAGAGGAAAGGAAGGAGAGATCAATATGTGATATGTTAGCAAAGGGAGGGGTGGGATGAGGAATTGTGTAGGAGGAGAACCGTGTCCCAAAGTGGAGGCAGGAGGGAATGCAGAGGGATCCCATCATGTGTTCTGCAGTATTCATTGGTAGCTTGTTATGCTAGGTGCTGGGGTGAAAAGTGGAAAGGCCACGTCTTTGCCCTCCTGCAGCCTACATTGTGGGAAAGGAAGCCCCCCCTTCACGTAACATAATGCCGTCTAGTAGCAAAATGCCTGTCTCTTACTTAATTTAGGTTGAACATTATTTTTCCACCACATTTTCACATTTTTAAAAACAACAGCCTTATTAAGATATGATTCACATATCGTGGTATTCATTCTTTTAAGGTATACAACTCAGAGGTTTTAGTTAAAGAAGACCACTATCGCAGTGGTTTTACCAGGGTTCTCTTTGAAGGTCTCTTTTCCAGATCTTTCCCTTAAGATGCCTTCTTCTTTTGGTAAAACATCCTGCTTGTTAGGCTCCACTAATTATCGGCTGATTGTCCTATGCTTTCTATCCAGTGCCCTAGGCTATACCTATCTCAACGGTCTGATCCACTTACAAGCAGGCAGGGGTAGTTTTTGAGGCCACTCTTTGAGGTTTGCTCGGACTGCAGGTGGGCTCTTCTTAAGCTGTCTCTTTCCATGGTTCTTTCTGATCCCCTGTCTGGCTTATGATACAGCTTGTTGGTCTCTATTAAGAGGAGTTATTGTCTTTGAGAGCACCCTTAGGCTTGAACTTGCTCACACTCTGTTTCAAATGAAGTCAGTCCCTTTAGGGAGAGCTTTGGAGCTCTCTTTTCTTACAGTCTGCCTCTCCTGGGCAGACTCTCCTAGCCAGTGTTCTGGGTACAGGGCTGAGCAAGCCTGTGGCTTGCTGCTTCTGGTGTCAAACTTAAGTTCTGTGAGCAGACTAGGTTGAGGACGCTTGGAGCTCTAGCATCGCCAGCCTCCTGGACTGTGGTAAAGCTTGTTTTATAGGAGGAAGGCTGTGTGGAGGAAGGCAGCCTCTGCTCTCTTGACCACACTTGCCAGAAATTTAGCCTGCTTGGAGTGGAGAGGGTGAGAAATGCTGGTGGCCTGCCTTGTTTGTGACATAAGGGATAAGCCTTGATTAAGAACTGGGAGGGAGTGGGGCCCCTGGTGGCTCAACCAGTTAAGCGTCTTAAGTGTCCCACCTTGGCTCCGGTCATGATCTCAGGGTTCATAAGTTCAAGCCCCACGTTGGGCTCTGTCCTGACAGCTCAGAGCCTGGAGCCTGCTTTGGTCTATGTCTCCCTCTCTCTCAAAAATAAATAAAAAAAAAAAAAAAAAAAAGAACTGAGAGGGAGGTTGGTTCTCTTGGTCACACCTACATGGAGTGGAGTTTGTCAGCTTGACCTGGGGCAGGGTAGGAAATTGGTTATGGCTCAGATGCCACAAATGGTCCCAATACCAAGTTTTAGTAGATTTTCTGGAGTAGTGTTTCTTTGTTTGAATATGCCCTAGAAAATTGCAAGGGACTTACAGTGATTGTTTTTTGTTCTTAACTTTATATTTTAATTCCACTTAAGTTAGCATAGTGTTATATTAGTTTCAGGTGTACGATAAGGTGATCCAAACATCCATGCGTGACCCAATGCTCATCACAACAAGTGCACTCCTTAATCCCTATCATCTATTTCAACCATCCCTCCACCCATCTCCCCTCTGGTAACCTATAGTTAAGAGTCTGTTTTTTACTTTGTCTCTTACTCCTTTTTTTCCCCTTTGCCTGTTTGTTTCTTAAATTCCCTGTATGAGTGAAATCATACGGCATTTGTCTTTCCTGACTGACTTATTTTGCTTAGCGTTTTATTCTTTAGCTCCATCCATGTTGTTGCAAATGGCAACATTTAATTCTTTTTTATGGCTGAATAATGTTCCACTATATGTATGGATATACACACCCCACACCTTCCATCATTCGATGGACACTTGGGTTGTGTCCATATGTTGGCTACTGTAAATAATTCTTCTATGAACATAGTATATGTGTTCCTTTGAATTAGTGTTTTTGTATTCTTTGGATAAATACCCAGTATGCTGGGTTATAGGGTATTTCTATTTTTCAGTGATTGTTTTTTAAAATAGTTTTGGTCAGCTTTGCTTATTTCACTGGACTTTTGGTCTGTGAAGCAGCTTTTCCTGTCCTCCTGGAAGTAGAACTCTCCAAACTACTTAATTCTAAATCCTCCTCAAGTTCAAAGATGTGTTCCTAGGAAGGAAACTACCATTTCAAGTAACTGATTTTTTTTTTTCTTTTTCTTTTATGAACAAAGGTTTTGGTCAGACATGAAAAGCAGAGCAGTTCTCTGCAGTGTCTCAAGTGTCATACTGAGGACTTTTATAATCACTATATGTGTGATAAGCTAAAGATGTTATTTTCAGGGTTTATTTTACCTAGTGTTGTAATGCCCACAGAAATCTATAGCTTCTACCCAGGTTGTTTACTTGACTGGATTTTTCAATTTTTTGAGTTTACTGATATGTGAATGTTTCCTATATAGGATATTTGATTTTTTTTTTTTTTTTGCATTCTTTCATAGTCTAAGTGTCAAACAGCTTACAGGTATTTAAGGTGATATCCATTTAAATTCTGAATTTTTAAATTGCCTTCATTTGATATTAAATTACATTTTACAAAAGAATTTTAGTGACATCAGATTGTACATTTTAGTTATGTAGAGTTTCATATAAAAAGTCAGCAACTTAAAATTTTAGAATTTGGATGTATTTCATCCTCTTCATCTTTCTGCTCAGTGAGGAGTCTTTTCTAATTGCAGCCTTTGACCTCTTTGTCAACATACCTAGTTCTGTCAACCATCTTTGCTCCTCTCTGTATTTACTCATGTTTACTCTTCTTATGACCACTGAAAGATGCTCTCCATCCCTATACCTCTGCTCCCATTCTTAACAGGGAATCCATTGTAGGGCAGAGTAATCATACTGAATCATGTCAGCTATCACTGGAAAGTGGATTATGATGGTTTTCCTTGGATTGACCATCCATTCTAGGTTCCTTGGTGGAGAGGGGAGGCATGGTCATGTTGTGCAATATGTTTCTCCATTTAAGATATCATCTAGATAATTTCTTCAGCAGGAGCATAGGTTTGACACTTTCTTACAGAATGAGGTGGTAGATTTAATTGAACCAATTTACTCACACTCTGTGGTTTATTAATGTAATCATTTCTTCAGGCTATAACTCTACGTAAGTTAAACTGAAGAAGGAATTGATAACAGTTTTGTAGTAGTAATAGTATGCTGTTGGGAATTTCTTTTAAGATTCACTGTGTACTGTTGTAATGGCATGTAACATTTGCCTGTAAGAGTGACCTGTCATGAAAATGTACTCCCATGATATACTGTATCTGGCTGTTTGATGAATTTTATATTGTAAACACACACATCAAATATAAGTTTTAATGGTAAAAGATCCATGTATATTCCTATAATACATTTGGAAGGACACACAAGAAACTGATCCCCTAGGTTGGAGGACTGAGATGGAAATGTATACTTTTATCCCATTTGAATTTTGTAATGAGTATAAGTGTTACTAAAACAATAGTACATCACTAAGAGGTAAGTAAAACAAAAATGACAAACAATAACAAAAGGGAAAATAAATGGATAAGGCAGACATTCTGTGGATATAATTCTAGCTAAATGTAATCTGGTGGCCCATTTGGGTTTCTTCTTACAATTGGTAAGCTCTTTGTGTCGATTGATGGCAAGTTTGATTAGAACTCCTTTCTAGGTGGTAAGTGTATTCCTATATTTTATCATCATATTGTTCCCTCCAATATCAGATGATTTAGAAGAGTTGCCGAATTTCTCTTTGACATCAGATCTTTTCTTGATTTGGAATGCAAGTTAGAAGTGTTGCCTCAGGAATTAGAAAGACCATGTTGATGGCTTATGAGTATTCTTCACTAATAACTCAGGCCAGATTTTTTTGAGTTACTTTGATCTATATAGATGGTAAAGAATTTACTTGAATCTTTTTCCAAATGCTCATATCTAAAGTCTAATTGATTGAATCACTCTTGGTGTTTCATTTTAAAAGAATGCAGCTTTGGCAAATGTCTTTACATAGAGAAGAGGGATTATGTTCAGGTTTTGGGTTATTGTTCTTTCATTGTATTTTAAGCATTTACAGGTTTCCTTTTTCTTTCTGCCCTTTAGCCGGCCTCAGAAAGTATGTTTGTGTCCATTTCTACCATTGCATCCTCTGCATATCTCTACTCATTTGTACATAATTCAACATCCAGCAGAGGTAAGATTTTATAAAATACATAATTGCAAATAGAATATTAGTACATAAAACACACCAATGAATATCCTTATACCTCCCAGCTCTTTAACATTTCTGAAAATAAATTGATGATAAATGCTTTGTCTTTGGGAAAAAATAGTTTCTTTTGTATGTTATATCATAGTATAGTGTCATATGCTTTAGAGGCAGATAAAAATGGTTATTTCATAAAACAGTATTGTTTCACAAAAAACTGTAATTGAATAGTATAGAAATTGAGAACCCCAACCATTTTGCATGAAGAAAAAATGAGATTTTTGTGATTGAAGAACTAAGAAACTCGTTGCTTTTTAAATTTTGATCATAGTTTATATTTCTTAATGTTTCTTGATAAGTAGAAATAATGTCAGCATTTTAGTGTTAGAAAATGAATATATAAAGTTTTATTTCTTTGAATAGAACAAATATGTATATATTATAGCATATGTGTTATATATAAAGACTTTTTAATTAATATTTTCTTATATACGTGAGAATTATGCATGTGCTGGTGTTTGTAACTCTTGATTAGCTGCAGTAATGAAGAATGGAGGGAAGGATTTGATTGATAACCATAAAAGAGAATCATTATAAAATTAGTTGATGCATGGTACAAAATGGGTTTAGATTAACTGAAGTTAAAAGTCTTCTAACATTTGGGAACTCAGGATATCATCTATTGAATTAGGCTTTTGAAGAAGGGATTTTTTTTTTCCTTAAATTTCTGAAGTATATGCTATTTTAAATCTTTAACAAAGTCTTTAAAGATATCAGTCTTTTTCCTTTTCCAAATGATGAAAACACTTATTCTTTTATTGTAAATTATTAAATATTCCATTTATTGAGCAGCCCTTTTGTCAGTGTTAACAACATGCTTTCGTTAGGATTTGAACACTTTGGTCACCATAATTATTTATGCTGTAATTATTTATTTTTTTATTTTTATAAAAAGTTTTTATTTTTTATTTTGAGAGAGAGAAAATCCGAGGCAGGCTTTGAGCTATCACTGTAGAGCCTGCTGTGGGGCTCGATTTCACGAACTGTGAGATCAGGACCTGATCTGGAATCAAGAGTTGGATACTTCACTGACTGAGCAAGGTGCCCCATTTTGCTGCATTTAAACTTGCAACACTCTGCAACTCAAATTTATAACAAAAATGAGTTTATCAGCAGTAATGGTTTTGGATAAAACTTCACTTTTGATAGTGAATGCTTTTTTCATTTTGCAGTGTATGTAGTATCATGTTGTTTTATTATTTTGTGGTTCCGGACATAATATGGCATTTAAAATATAGGTGTTTTCATTGATGTGTGGCAATTTTAATGTTTTCAAAGCCTTCCACATTGGTAAGAAAGAAGTGAAACTGTCATTATTTGAGATTACATTGTACTACAGCAAACCCTAAAGACTCCACCAAAAAATTACAAGAACTAATAAATGAATTCAGTAAAGTTGCATGATACGCTAGTATATAGAAATCTGTTATGTTTCTATACATTAACAATGAAGTATCAGAAAGATAAACAAAGGAATCAATTTCAATTATAATTGTACCAAAAAGAATAGAATACCTAGCAACAAATTTAACTAAGGAGGTGAAAGACCTTTAGCATGAAACTATTAAGATGTTGATGAATGAAATTGATGAGGACACAAACAAATGAAAGGTATATCATGCTCATGGATTGGAAGAATTAACATTTTTAAAATGTCTGTAATGCCCATAGAGTTCTACTCATTCAGCGTAATACCTTTTAAAATACCAGTAGGGGTACCTGGGTGGCTCAGTTGGTTAAGTGTCTGACTCTTGATTTTGGTTCAGGTTATGATCTCACAGTGGTGAGATTGAGCCTTGCATCAGGCTCTGTGCTGGGTGTGGAGCCTGTTTAAGATTCTCTCTCTCCCTCTCCCTCTGCCCCTCCCCTGCTCTTGTTCACATTCTCTCTCTCTCTCTAAAGTAAACTAAAGTAAAATAAATAAAATAAAATACCAATAGCATTTTCAAAGAACCAGAGCAAACAATCCTAACATTTGCATATCACCACAAACTGCCCCGAATAGCTAAAGCAATTTTGAGAAAGAAGAACAAAGGTGGAGGTGTTACAATCCCACATTTTAAGATATACTCCGAAGCTATAGAAATCAAAATAGTGTGGTACTAGCACAAAAAGAGACACATATATCAATAGAACAGGATAGAGAGCCCAGAAGGAAACCCACACTTCCATGGTCAGTTAATCTACAAACAAATGAGGCAAGAATATGCAATGGGGAAAAGATAGTTTCTTCTATAAATGGTGTTAGAAAAACTGGACAGCTACATTCAAAACAGTGAAATTGGATCACTTTCTTATACCATACACATAAATAAACCCCAAATGGTTTAAAGTCCTAAATGTGAGACCTGAAACCATGAAACTCCAGAAAGAGCACATTGACAGTAAAGTCTTGGATGTTGGCCTTAACAGCATTTTTATGGATATGTCTCCTCAAGCAAGGGAAACAAAATAAAAAATATAGTGTAAAAAATGGTGCTGGTTATGCACCAAAATTAAAGGTTTCTGCGCAGTGAAGGAAACAATAAACAAAATGAATATGGGAAGGTGTTTGAAAGTGATAAATCTGATAAAGGGTTAATATCCAAAATACATAGAGAATTTATTCAACTCAACATCCAAAAACAAATAATCAATTAAAAATGGGTATAGAACCTGAATAGACATTTCTCCAAGAAAGAAATACAGATGTCCAACAGACACACAAAAGGATGCTCAACATCACTTATCAGGGAAATGCAGAGCAAAACCACAATGAGATATTACCCCATACACCTGTCAGAATGACTGGTATCAAGAAGACAAGAAATAACATGTTGAGAATATGAAGAAAAAGGATGCCTTGTGCACTTTTGGTAGGAATGTAAATTGGTACATCCAGTATGAAAAGTATGGAGGTTCATCAAAAAATTAAGAATAGAGGGGCATCTGGGTGGCTCAGTCGGTTAAGTGGTTGACTCTTGATCTCAGCTCAAGTCATGATCTCATGGTTTGTGGGATTGAACCCCACATCGGGCTCTATGCTGACAGCATGGAGCCTGCTTGGGATTTTCTCTCTCCCTCTCTCTTTGTCCCTGCCCATCTTGTGTGCACTATCTCTGTCTCATTCTCAAAAATAAATAAACATTAAAAAAATTAAAATAGAAATACCATGTGACCAATAATTCCATCTGTGAGTATTTACCCACAGAAAATGAAAACACTAATTTGAGTAGATATATGCACCTCTATGTTTATTGGAGCATTATTTACAATAGCCAAGATATGGAGGCAACCTAAGTGTCCATCAGTAGATGAATGGATAAAGAAGAGGTGGTGTACACACATGCACACACACACACACACACACACACACACACACACACACACACTTTACACCAATGGAATATGATTCACCTGTAAAATAAGGATGAGGTCTTGCCGTTTGTGTGACAACGTGGGTAGACATGGAGAGTATATTATGCTAAGTGTAATAAGTCTGACAGAGAAAGACAAATACCATATGATTTCACTTACACATGGAATCTAAAAACCAAAACAAATGAACAAATAAGACAAACAGACTCATACATACAGAGAACAAACTGGTGGTTGCCAGAGGAGAGGGGTGTAGGGGGATGGGTGAAATCGGTAAAGGGCATTAAGAGGTACACATTTCCAGTTATAAAGTAAATAATCATGGAAATGAAAATTGCAGCATAGCGAATATAGTTATTAATATTGTAATAATGTGCAGTGACAGGTGGTAACTACATTTATTGTGGTGAGCATTGTGTAATGTATAGAATTGTCAAGTCGCTGTATTGTATACCTGAAACTAATATAACATTGTGTGTCAACTATGCTTCAATAATAAAAATTAAAATAAAAAGTGAAAGTTCAGAAAAGTAGGTGTTTTCATTGATTTGTGGCAATTTAAATGCTTTCAAATATGTTATTCATTCCTTTATTCCTTCGTTTATTCATTCTTCCTCACCTTTTTTGCTTCCTTCCCTTCTTTCTTTCATGGTTAGTTCATGGTGTAGGTGATCCATCTACAGTTGTGTGTGTTTTGTACAGTTCTATGCAAGTACATCCATATTGTTTTCCTTATCATCCAAGGAGCTTTCTAGTTTTAATCTAACTCAATAATACTGGGTTGCCTTGTGCTTAATGTCAGCACACTTTTTTTAAAAAAATAAAAATGTATTCAAAATTAAAAGTGATCAAGACCACTTGGGTAGGCTTTAGGAGGGGGCTGTGGAAAAAAAAGATTTGGTGGAGCGGATGATATGGAGGTGATATGGCGGAGCATTTCAAAGAGTAGATATATGTATGTAGAAAATTACTTAAGGATAAAATAAAACCCTTCAAAATAACAAAAATATTTACAAGGAGGACATGTTCTGTGAAACCACATGACCTTTTGTGAACAGTGTATATGTAACCATAGTGATGTAAGCACTGTCGATTGATTTAACTAAAAATATTAGATGATATGAGAGTAAGGAGTGATGGAAGAAAGGTAAATCCTCATTTCTTCTTCTTTTTTTTTTATTTAAAAAATTTTTTTTTTCCAACGTTTATTTATTTTTGGGACAGAGAGAGACAGAGCATGAACGGGGGAGGGGCAGAGAGAGAGGGAGACACAGAATCGGAAACAGGCTCCAGGCTCTGAGCCATCAGCCCAGAGCCCGACGCGGGGCTCGAACTCACGGACCGCGAGATCGTGACCTGGCTGAAGTCGGACGCTTAACCGACTGCGCCACCCAGGCGCCCCTATCCTCATTTATTCTAAGGGGCTCTTGTGACACAGTGCATTAATTAAGAGGAAGGGCTCAGGAGCCAGATTGCTTGAGTTTAAAGCCTTAATAGCTCTGTAAATTGTAACCCTGGGCAAGTTAATTAACCTCTCTGTGCTTTCGTTTCATCATTAGTAAAATGGACATGATAAAAGATATACTTCTTTATTGGTTTATTGTGAGCATTACATGAATCAGTCAGTGTATTATTATGTACATTGAAGTCAGCTATTATGACAATAAATGGTAGTTTGTAGGTAGTATTTAAATTTGATAAATCAAAAATTAGTAAGACACGTTATATAGAAATATGGAGATAACTACCAAAGGAAATAGCTGAAAGAGTTAAAGTGATTGCTTCTGGGAAGTGGTATTGGGGAGTGTATCTGGGAACATTATAGATCTTTTGGCACTATTTAATTTGACATTTATCTGTATGTTGATAGAAGTTCGGAGAGTGGTTTAAGAATGTATCGTAGTCTCAGAGGTTGTAAGGAGGGAAGAAAACAGTAGGACACGCTGGAAAATGTCCTAAACCTCTCCTCCCCCCTCCTCCCGTCCCTTTTCTCGTAGGAGCTACTCCACATTAATTTCAGGCTCCCTCACAGCTCTGGCTTGCTGCATTTTCTTTTTAGTTACAGTCCCAGCAAATTCTGACTCTCCTATTTCGTTTGCCAACTTTTAGGTTGATGAATTTAACTGTCCTCAGCGTCTCTAGATTTACCTTTTTGTATTATTGTAATCAACACTTCAGACACTTAGGGGCAAAAGAGGTTGACACAAAAATGTCCCTGAAGGGTGTATGTGTGTGTGAGTGGTTGATGAATACTGTTACTAGCCATACTTTTTGTTTTTGTTACCAACATATGTAATGTAATGACAAAGTTATTTTTAATTACTTTAGTAAATTCTGTATAACATTACTGTTTTGTGTATTAATATGCTGTGTGTATTGTGCTATCATGGTGAAATAATTTACTTTGAGGATATATGAAGCAGTGTTATATAAATTGATAAAGGTAACGGGGGCTGTATGTAGGTGAACTGGTTAGAGAGGGACTCCAACACTTACTTGATCAGGCTTGACATTCCTAGTTGGGCTGGTGGAGAAGAGCCAGACAGTGACTGACCACTGTAGACCAAAATAACCAGAGGAAGGAGGCTCAGGCAAAACAGTGAATCAGTTGGGTATACTCGGATAAAGGAGAGGATTCTTTTTTCTTAAATGTTATTTATTATTTTTGAGAAAGAGAGAGAGAGAGAGCTCGCTCAATCAGTGGAGGGTTGGAGAGAGAGGGGGACAGAGGGTCCGAAGTGGGTTCTGTCCTGACAGCGGTCAGCCCCGTGTGGGACTCGAACTCGTGAACTGTGAGATCATGACCTGACCCGTTGTCAGATGCTCAAATGACTGAACCACCCACATGCCCTAAAGGATAGGATTCTTGTGACAAAAAGGTGGTTTTTAGTGCTAGAAGCTAGGACATTGGAAAAAAAATCACTGATGATAGTTAATGGAGTTTATAGGAATGGTCACCATATTTCCCCACTCTAAAGTTTTTATATTTTTCCTCTTTCTATACCCTTTATTATTTGGAAGTAGGCCATAAATCCAGTCTGCATTCAGGTGGGTAGGAGAGATTAAGCAAGCTCCACCTGCTGTATTATGGAGTACTTATGTTTATTACTTGGAATTCTTCTGTAAGGAAGATTTGTCTCTCCTCTCCTATTTATTTCGCATTTTGGGTCATAATCCAAATAGGTTGCTACTTACTTTGTTACTCACATTGTTCCATTTTGGTCATTGAGAGCTCTTTAAATTAAGATTGGTTTCTGTGTCCCTTTGATATGACCCATTATTATTTTTTTTTTTCAGCACTTTTTTTCTGGACATAAAGATTTAGGCAGTTATCTTCAAGTTGACGTACTATAAAATATAATTACTACCGAAATGTAGAATAAATTATTCAATTTAGTTAAACACAAATTTCGTTTTTCATAACCTTAACCAATAGTTGGCTTAATGTTATCTTATTTGATTAGTAAACCTCGAACACACCCAAGTAGAGGAAAATGTGCACTTGTATTCTATTAATACCGATAACTCAGAGAAACTAGCTCTTTTTATTCAGCTGTGGTCTGTAATACAAGTCTTGTGAAAGTTATCTATCCCGTAATGAATCAGATGTTCATCATGAAAGTTTTAAAAGTGTGTTTGTCTACGTGCAAATCTATGTTTTGATTAATTTTTTAATTAAAGGAAAACAAAGTGTTGCGGACAGTTCCCCTTTTAGCAGCATGCCTCCCCCAGGACAAGTGTAAAGTCAAGATTGGTCGTCGCTTCAGTGAAGAAAGGTAAATTACTTTTTAGGGCACTTTAGCCTAACTCTTAGCTACACAGAGCTTTAAAAATGATTTCCTTTACCTTATCTTTCAGACCCAGAACATGGTACATTGGCAGAGGTAAAAAAAAAAAAAAAAAAATATATATATATATATATATATATATATGACAATCAAAGCAAACAAAAAGACCCTCAAAAAACATGAGCCAAGTGCAATAGACAAAGGGATTATCTGAATTCCATAGTAATATATGTTGAGCCTTTTAAAGGCATATTTTCCTGTTTATTTCATTTTGGTTAAAACTGCCTTTGGGAGAATAGAGTACTTGTTTTGTTTTTTCTTTTTTTAATTAACAATTATATATGGTATACATTTATGTAAATAAACACATATTTATCCATTTTTAGACCATTAAAGCTTTCTAAGGCAGAGCGACTAGAACTATATTTAGTATTCTTGTTACAGCATGTCATGTTTTTTTAAAGGATAGAATGCCTTCTCCTGTCATATTTAAAATATTCTTTTTGATGAAGCCCAGTATTTTTTATAGACAGTAGCCCATTAGTTGATAACTTCACTGACACTTCTATAATGTTCTTGGATCTTATTTCATACTCTATTATATAACCCATTATCAAAAAATATAAATTATATATTATATATTTAAATTTTTCTACAAGTCTTTTTTTAACTTTGAAGCATTTTTTTTTTTTTTGCTTTTCTGCCCATTCACAAAGCCTTCACAAATTATTCTGATCCTATCTAACACAGTTAAATCTACTTTCATACAAAATTTAACTTTTGAAAATATGAAGATCTCAAAAGAGTAAGACTCATACTGGCTCCAGGCTCAGGGAAGTGACCAGACTTTTTCCTTCCTTTATTGTTTTGGGTTCCTTTATTATTTGGCTTCATATTATGAAAATAACATCATGTTAGAGTTTTATAAAATTGTGTTTTCCCTTCTCTGAAACTATTGTTTAAGAACACTTTCTCATATAATATTTTCTTATGCAAACTTTTCATTGCCTTGCCCTCAGAGGTGTGATTTGCTCTGGGCTTGGTGCTGCTGTTGGGAATTTTGCCATTTGGTTGGGAATGGAAGTGAAAACCAGAACTCTTCACATGGGGGAGTGTCCACATCATTTACATTGTGACACTTCTTTCATATAGAGACTCTTTATAATGAATGATAGTTTGTTTCTCTATAATTCTTGGGTGAATATAGATCTATCCCAACTTGATCCAACTGCAGCTTGGATCTAATTAATCGCAAAAGTGGTGAGCATTTATAGTGGTAGAAATAGCAACTATTTGGGTCATCCTTGACATTTGGCCGTCTAACCTGTCCGCAAATTTGTTTCTGGATGAGCAACTTGACCCTTTTTCAGATAGCTCATCCCATTTTGAACCATATTAAGTGTGTGATGTAGTGCTTATTCAGGAAATTATTATTTGCTGATGGTTTTTAAATGAAAGCCAATTAAGATTATTGATTTAATATTAATCTGGCAATGGAATGATTAATTTAAGCTTTTGTTAGAGTACATGATGTAACCATGAGGAATCGTTCAGAGACCTACTGCTTTTGGTGTCCTTTGTAAATGGAAATTTAAAAATGCTGGTCTTCAGTTTTTGGCCTCTATAATTGGATATTGGAAAACAGGTGGGTTTTATGTATCAACCCCCAGTGACTTTCTAAATTCATTTGGTATTTATTGAAATTGTTCTGTAGCTTACCCCTAGAACTTTGTGTGGAGATAGCATATCTAGAGATAAGGTCATTATTGACCTTTATGCCTGTTACTTCTTTTTCTTGCTTTATTGCAGTAACTGGAGGCTTTAGTACAATATGTATTAGGAGTGGTGAAAGCCAGCGTTTTTACCTTTATCCCAGTCTCAGGGGACGTTGTTAAATATGATGTTGGCTGTACATTTTTGTGGATGCCATTTATCACTTTGAAGAAGATGCCATTAGTTATCTTTAATTGACTCTTCAACTTGTTTCCTTCCCTTCGAGGATGTTTTGTTACTTCCAGACAGTGGCTGTCTCTTTCCTTATTACATCTCCAGTACCAAAATGCTTTGGTGTATATTTTTGAAGGAAGCACACTAAGAATAATAAAACTTCTTTCCCTTCACAAACTACTAATGATTTTTTTTTTTTTTAATTTTTAGAGATCCTGAACTTTCAACTGTTTGTCGGAAGTCTGATACATTAATATTATATCCAGGGGCTGAAGCTGCTAATTTGGAAGAATTTATATTAGATTCTCCTGTTTATCCTTCCACAATCATCATCATTGATGGTACATGGAGCCAGGCTAAGGACATTTTCTATAAGAATTCTTTGTTCCGCCTGCCCAAACAGGTAACCTAGTATTTTAACATAGAACAAATGCAATTGTGTAATTTTGTATGTTGTATATGCTTTCTGTGAGGGGTCACACTTACATTTTTATATACGTATTTGATAGTATTTATGTGCGTGAATGCGTGTACATAGATATGTATATGCTTGTGTGTGTTTGATATATATATATATGTGGAAAATTTGAAATTTGTTCATCTTTCTCAATTCTTAGCACCAAACTTCACCATGGTTAAAGTATTTGACTATATTAAGAGTATCTCAGACGTTTAATCCGTGAAGTGTAAGGACTAATTATTTCTATGTGAATTAATGTTTTTGTTAAGTGTTATGTTTAAATACTTCTATTTGGTAACTAAATACCCTCTTCTTGTTAGGAATGACTGAATTTTCATTTATTATTTTAATTAGTTTATCCCTCAATTTGTTGATGATGATACATATCTTGTATTGAGCCATTCTTTTGTTCTTGGAATGAAGTCCGCTTGATCATATATATTATCCTTTGATAGATGGCCAAATCTCATATTTTATTAAATGCCATTTGGACTGCCTGGGTGGCTCAGTCAGTTAAGTGTCTGACTTCCGCTCAGGTCATGATCTTGCAGTTCTTGAGCTCAAGCCCTGCATCTGGCTCTGTACTGACAGCTTAGAGCCTGGAGCCTGCTTCCGATTCTGTGTCTCCCTCTCTCTCTGCCCCTCCCCCGATGGTGCTCTGTCTCTCCCTCTCTCTAAAAAATAAACATTAAAAAAAGTAAAAAAAGTATATATATATAGCATTGAATTATAATTTGTATATTTTTTGTACTTTTATTATCAGATTTGGTTATGCAGATAATCTTAACTTTACCAAATGAATAGGAGAGATTTTAATATTTTTCCATGGCCTAGAATAGTTTGAATAATATTGGAATGCCTTGCTTCTTAAAAAATTAGATGGAACTTATAGGTGAAACCCCCTGGTCCTGGTCTTTTTAAACATAATAACTTTTAAACTCTTCTTTCAAACTCTTATGGAAATTATTCAAACTTTCTTCTTCTATTTGGTTCACTTTTTAAATAACTTTTATCTTTTTTGGGGGAATTGTTTCTTTTTCACCTGAGTTAACAAATTGCCTGATATATACCTGAATATATTCTTAAATACTTATTTTAATTTTTTCTGAATATGTCCTTTCTCCTTTCTAATCATATACTCTCACTTTTTCTCCCCATGAGCATGTTCAAAAGATGTTTCTACCTTTTTATTTAGCTTTTAAAAGTATTAGCCTTTAGACTATTTTGATGGCTGTTATACTTCATTCTTATTTCCTTCATTTGTACTTTTATCTTGATCACTTTCTTTCATCTTTTCCAGCTTGTTCTGTTTTTGTAAGGTTTTACTGTGTACTATGTTCCTTTACTAAGGTGAGTCCCTTCTTTAATAATAAAGGGAGAGAAGGCTGCCATATTTCTTAGTGTAACATTCATTGTATCCTATAGTTTGGGGTTGATGTATGTTTGTATTTATAGCATTGATATAATTTGTAATTTGTGTTGATTTCTTTCTACCCATGGATTATCAATGACTTCTTAATTCTCATGCATTAACAACACTTTTGTCCCTATTTTATTTTTATTTCTTATTTTGTTAGATTGTGATAAAAGAAGGTTGCCTGCAATATTTTGAATATGTTTATGATTTCTATGTGGGTTAGTACATGGAAATTTTTTGTATCTTTTCTGTGATGATAAAAAATTCACATTTTCAAATGATGAAAATATTTCCCTTTTTAAGGTTTGTTATTTGCATTTTTCTTTATACTTTTGTTTTTGTCATCTATGGCTGTTTGATACTGAACAAGGTGTATGAGAAGCTTCCGTTCAGTCTTTTAAATGAAGTTATCTCTACCTTTCCTGTAGTTTTGTGTATTTATCTGCTCTGTTGTATATATAACAAGACATGCACTTAGTGAAAAATAATATAGATTTTAATAGATTATTTTATTCTAAGATAATAATAATAGATGCTGACAATCTAATCTCAAATTCTTTGTAGTTTTCATTCCCTTTGGTTAAAATGCAGGTACGGTTTTTAAATGAGACTGAACTATGCAAAAATAGTTAAAAAAAAATAGCTAATGTGTTGAGTGCTTTGAATGGGCCAGTCCCAATTCCAGGTGTTTTCCACGAATTAACTTGTTTAAATCTTCCTCAAAGGATTGTTACTGTCTTAGGTAACATGTAAGGAAACTGAGGTGCAGATTCTTAAATAGTTTGTATTAGATCACATAACTGTTTCACAGCAGAGCAATTTCAACCCATCTAGTTTCGAGCCAAAGACTGTGGTCTTATCCAAAGTGGCATGATGCTTCTAAAAGGGAAGCTTCCATCGAGGATACTTACCTAGGATAGCTTCTGTAAGTTTATCTGGTTTCTTAAGTGTTCTGTGTTCCACAAGAACCAACTCCTAAAGGCATGGTTGCTGTTAGGTTGTGTCACATTTTAGCAAAATTTGTGTTCATATTACAATTAGATATTGCCCAATATACAAGGAAAGTTTAATGAAAGTCTTGTATCTGTAAAATGTCTTAATGAAAATATTTGAATTGTTTTTCCTTTTCTGCATGCTTATGCTATGTCTGTGTCTCTCATCTTTCATTTTGTGGTAGCTACGTGAATGCCATAGAAATAAACTACAAAGTCACCGTAAAAAGATTAAAAGATATTTTAAAATTTATTATTTACCAAACCTGTTTTCTTCTTTATTTTTTTTTTTTTAAATTTTTTTTTTCAACGTTTATTTATTTTTGGGACAGAGAGAGACAGAGCATGAACGGGGGAGGGGCAGAGAGAGAGGGAGACACAGAATCGGAAACAGGCTCCAGGCTCTGAGCCATCGGCCCAGAGCCCTACGCGGGGCTCGAACTCACGGACCGCGAGATCGTGACCTGGCTGAAGTTGGACGCTTAACTGACTGCGCCACCCAGGCGCCCCTGTTTTCTTCTTTAAATTGAGTAGCGGATAAGGAAATAGGTAAATTAAATAGTTTCCTCAGTCTGACTGTGCTGTATGTTTTTTATCACTTTTTCCTTTTCATGTTTTCCCAAACCAGAAGCAAATATAGGTGGATATTTGTTTACCCTTGAAAAGGATATATTACAACCATCCGATAAAATAAAATGCTTAAGGGGCGCCTGGGTGGCGCAGTCGGTTAAGCGTCCGACTTCAGCCAGGTCACGATCTCGCGGTCCGTGAGTTCGAGCCCCGCGTCGGGCTCTGGGCTGATGGCTCAGAGCCTGGAGCCTGTTTCCGATCCTGTGTCTCCCTCTCTCTCTGCCCCTCCCCCGTTCATGCTCTGTCTCCCTCTGTCCCAAAAATAAATAAACGTTGAAAAAAAATAATTAAAAAAAAAATAAAATGCTTAAAAGAAACATTAAATAGATTTGAGTACACGGGGGAGAATACCACCTTAAACTAAAGTGAAAGGCAGATGGTTTTCTGGAAAACTGTGAATCCAATAAAAGCTTCATAAGCTTAGATTTCTTACAAATGAATAAGGTGAAGGTGAAAATCTTAAAAAAAAAAAAGGCCATACATATGAAAACAAAGTTCATAAAAGAGAAAATAAATGTATTTATAAAAATCATAATTTAACCTTTATGTTGAAAGAGGTTCAGACGTCCAGAAAATATCCTGTATTATCCAGGAATAATACAGACATCCCTCAAATGCCCTTAAGTTTTAACATTATGCATTATTTGCCTTATCAGTCTCTCTCTGTGTATTTTATACTTTTCTGAGCCCTTTGAGAGTAAGGAATAGATATCTAAATTTACTTTTTGAAATTGAAATGTTGCTAGTTCTAGCAAGAATGTCTTTTCCTAAATATTTTTTTTTTTTGGCCCGAAATAAAAAAAATAGTAATTTAAAGCCCAACACAATTTACAAAAATGTGTATATTTTGAGATAGTTTCATCTTAATATACATGGGAAATGTGGGTCATCTTAGGAATAATAATACGTATGGCTTTTTAGAGTGTCATACAATACCCAGCCCAAACATGAGTGTGGGTTGGTTTGACAAAATATGTTTCTGGAAGTTGTTGCAAAAACCAGTGAAATATGTACATTTACTCTTCTGAAAAAAAAAAAAAAAGATTTTTATCTGTATACATACACATACATATACACAGATGGATAGGTAAGTTGAGATGAAAAAGGGATTGATTTAAAAATAAATTTTTTTTTTAACGTTTATTCATTTCTGAGAGGCAGAGAGCGACAGAGCATGAGCAGGGAAGGGGCAGAGAGAGGGAGACACAGAATCTGAAACAGGCTCCAGGCTCTGAGCTGTCAGCTGTCAGCACAGAGCCCGACATGGGGCTTGAACTCATAGACTGTGAGATCATGATCTGAGCTGAAGTTGGACGCTCAACTGACTGAGCCACCCAGGTGTCCCAATGGGATTGATTTTTTAAAATGGAAATATCTTTAGACATCTATAAAATGATACTGATAATTATAGTGGTTTGGTAATAAGTTCTGAACTACCTTCTGTAACACTAAATTGCTTATTTTTAATATATTTTCCCATTCTTGAAAAATTTCCCATTCATATGTAATGATTTTTATTTAATTAGTAACTGTTCCCCAGCTTTTCTGGAAAACAATTTTATTACACAATAGACTTTCCCAGTGGCCCTGCTTTAATAAGTGAATACACTTAAGCTATAGGTAACATGCATCATTCATGAGTAATTAATGACAGAAGTCCATCTCTAACTCAAACAAAAAAGCAAAGTATACAGGTCATGTAATGGGGAAGTTCAGAATGGGTAGTTGCAGCTTCAGATTTGCCTAGATCTGGTACTCAAGCAGCTCTCTGTTTTGGAGGTTTGTTTCCTTTTGTGTTAGCTTGAATTATCTCTTACACAGAATGGACTTCCTCCCTGCTGCTGAAAGACGTCTGTGTAAAGCAGCAGATTGGTCTCCCCTTGGCTTTATTTATCTTAACAGAG